CGGGATCATAAGAGGCGGGATCATAAGAGGCGGGATCATAAGAGGCGACAATTTCAGCAATGTATAAGTGAAATATAAAAACCATAAAGGAGAGTGCACTGATTTCAGCTATACAAAGCAGAAAGACAAGGTGATAATCTACTTGGGGTGTGGGTTCAAAGACCAAAAGGGACCACAGTTATACAAGAAATAAAAGAACACCAAATTGCCTATCAGAAGCTGCTCGTTCTTTATGGTTTCCACTCCACTTCCCCGTCCACTACCCACATCCTGCAATTTCTCAAGACCAAAAATCTTTTTAACACAGCCTTAATGATGGCATATCCATAATATCCTAGGAGTGGAGAAGTCCAAATGTTTGGAACTCTTTAGAATTCTCTAATTTTGAAAGCTGTAGATTTTTCCATTGCTAAGTATATACACATGGCTGGTCAGTGGAATAGTTCTGATAAAACAGTTTTGATGAAACACAGAGGGAGGAGTAGGCCATTCAGCCCTTCGAGCCTGCTCCACCATTCAATATCATGACTAATCGTCTAATTCAGTACTCTGCCCCTGCTTTCTCCCTGTACTCCTGATCCTGTTAGCCCTTAAAAAAAAGCTATCCAACTCCTTCTGGAAATCAATGTTTTGGCCCCAACAGCTTTCTGTGGGAATGAATTCCACAGACTCACCACTCACTGGGTGAAGAAATTTCTCAGCTCCGTCCAAAACAGCCTACTCCATAACCTTAAGCTGTGAATCCTGGTTCTAGACTCCCCAGTCATCAGGAATACCTTTCCAGCATTTATTCCATCCAGCTCTTAGAAACCTATGCAGTTTTCAATGACAGCACCCATCCCTATTCATCTAAACACCAGTGAATTATTGTCCCAACCTATGGAGTCCCTCTTCATACCCCAGTCCTGCCACCCCAAGAATCAGTCTGGTAATCTTTGTTGCACTGCCTCCAAAGTCACAACATTCTTCTACAGATAAGGAGAACAAAGCTGCAGACAATACAGTGAGATCCCACCAAGGCCCCATACAACTGCATCAAGACATTCTTGCTCTTTTACTCGAATCCTCTTCATATGAAGGTCAAAATATCATTTGTCTTTCTCAATGACTGCTGCAGGACATCCAGGTCTCATTACAACTCTCCCTTTCTTAATCTATTGCCATTCAGATAACAACCTGCTTTCCTGGTTTTGCTACCAAAGTGGATAATCTCACGTTTATCCACATTATCAATACGTTTGCCCACTCATTCAACTTGTTAGTCATACTGTGTCATCTCTGCATCCTCCTCACAGCTCACCTTTCCACCCTGCTTTTGTCACCTGCAAACTTGGGAGATATTACATTTAGTTCCCTCATCTAAATCATTAATATATATTGTGAATAGCTGGGGTCCAAGCACTGATCCCTATGGTACCCCTCTAATCACTGGCTGCCACTTGGAAAAAGATCTTTGTATTCCTACTCATTTCCTGCCTGCTAACCAGTTCTCCATTCATGTTCAGTACATTATTCCCGAAACCATGGGCTTTAATTTTACACGATAATCTCTTACATGGGACTTGATCAAAAGCCTTTTGAAAGTCACAAGTAAATTACCTCCACGGCTCCCCCTTATCAACCTTCCTTACAGCCTCAAAAAATTCCAGTAGATTTGTCAAGTGGAATTTCCTTTTGATAAATTCATGCTGACTCTGTTTAATCCTGTCACTGTTTTCCAAGCACTCTGCTATCAAATCTTTGATAATGCATTCAAGACTTCTTCCCCCACTACCAATGATGTCTGGCCAATCAGTTTAAAATTCCACTTTCTCTCTACCCGCCTTTCAAAATAAATAATGGGATTACATTAATCGATCCTCCAAGAGAGAGTTACAATCTGCAAAATTAGCCGCTTCTCTCTACAGATGCTTCCAGAGTTACTGAATATTTCCAGCAGGGAATATTTTGTTCTTTCACAGAAAAGAGAAAAAACAAAAATGTTTTGTTTTTATTTCATCTAAAGCTAAGTCCCGGTTAGCAATGGATAAAATTACCAGCCACCATTTAAGAACGATGAATATAAAAAGTATCAGCTGATTAGACCAAGTTAGCATGTTTCTGTAAAAAGCAGATAATGTTTAACCTATCAAAAGGCAAAGGAAGAAATAACATATCTAGTAAGCTAGGAGCACAACAAGGTCAACAATACTAATTTCAAATGAAATAAGTAGGTGGACTGATACACAGTTCATTTCAAGTTCAAAGGTTGAGACTACAGATGGAGGATGGTGGAACAGAGATCTAGGGGATTCAGTACACATCAAGTTTATAAGGCGAAAAAGGCATGAAAGTGGTATGATGTTTCCTCACATGGGGGAATCTAGAACGAGAGATAATTGTATTAAATGTGCTACCAATTATCCTAAAACGGAAATGAAGAGAAATAATTTCTCCTCCAGAGTTGTGAATCTGTGGAATTCACTACCCCAAAGTGTGGTGGATGCTGGGACATGGAGAAAATTGGAGTCGATGGACAGATTTTTAATTCTTATGGGGTTGAAGGGTTATGGAGACTGGCATTGATGCCTCGATGAGATCAGCCATGACTGTATCAAATGGCATAGCAAGCATGAGGGGCTGAACTGCCTCATCCTGCTCCTAGTTCTTACGAAAAGACAGACAAGGTCAATGAGCATTAGGAGAAGCAAGGAAGGATAGAAAAATTGAGGAAAGAAAAATACTTGCAATTTACAGAATCATCTCAATAGTTAAAAATCTCAAAGTGCTTTAAAGCTGATGAATTTAGAAGCATAGTTGCATAAAATCAGGGAAACATGACAGCCAACTTCTTGCTGCAAAAGCCTACAAACAGCAATTTAATAAATAGCTGGATGTTTATGATTTAGTGACATAGTCAGAGAATGAATGTTGCTTAGGACATGGAACTATTACTAACACTATATAGAATGGTAGCTAGAAAACTGACAATTGGTTTTGAGCACTTTTACAAAAAGACCAAGAGGATGGCAGGGGTCTAATCGGAAATGAATTACCAGCTATTCAAGATAAATGAAAACCAACAACAAGAAAATGGATAACCTTGGAGAAAATTCCCTTTAAAGCCAGGAGAGTTGAAGGAAAATCTAGAAAACAATGCTCAAGTGAGACAACGTAGATGGAAGTCACCATTTCAAGGAACGGAACTTTAACATAAAAGATAAATTTCTTCAGACTAGAATAAGACAGCCCAGAAACATAGCTGCACAATCAATAGCAGCCTTTATAAAAACAACTTTTGAAAGTACATGTAGTTAAAAAAAAAACAAAGGACAAGGACCAAGATATAGGGGTTGGTATGGCCAACAAACAGTGCAGAGTAGGTTTAATTGGCAATCAACTTAAAAATAAGATGGTGGTTTGAAAAGATCAAAAAAGTAAGATCTTTTGCACAAGAATACTACAATAACGTGGACAAATGAAGACAAGGCTCAGTAATGTACAAATCAGTTCCAGACTGTCAATACCTCAAACCTGATCAACGACAGGAATCATGCAGTAATTTGATAACTTATAATAGACAAAAAAAATTAAACTGCAGCAGGATTAGAAGTACAACAACATTTGAAGAGGATAAAAATAGAAATTGCTGGAAAAGCTCAGCAAGTCTGGCAGCATCTGTGGAGAGACACAGTTAGTGTCACTTGACTCGAAACATTTTCTCAGAAAGGGATCACTCCTTTAGGTTTAAAAATTAGGACTGGCATCCAGATAAGACCAAGTGCTAAAATATTTAACAGTATACTACTATACAGTTCTGAACAGGTGTCATGTTGGACTGGAAAAATTTACTCCACTTCTGCCTTCAGAGGTTGTCAGAACCGAGTTTCTCCTGCACTTTGTTTTATATCAGATCTCCTGCAGTACTTTGCTTTTAAGCTACAAAATACCATGGAATAGTCTTAAAACTTGTCTGTCTTGGCCATGAGACCAAAAAAAAATCAAGGATGGTGTGTGCGCGCGCGTGCATGAGGTGGAGGAGAGGAGAGATTTACTCTGGCAAACTTGATCTGTTCAAGACGCCCAACACTTAAACACGGCAGAAGTTTAAACACTTAAACTTCTCAGAAAAGAAGTTAACACTTTATTCCTCCACATTCATGTATTTGTGACAAGTATCTATTTATCCCTCACTTACCATCTGTGGATCATTGGATCTGCTCACCCAACCGGAAATAAGCTTCAGGGTTTCTCTTTTTACTGTTCGCATACTTCTGATCAGGGGCTGTTTTGTAACCATATCACCTATAAATATAACAGACATCAATAAAAATATGCCTTGCAGAGAGACATTGTTCTGTTAAACAACACACCTTCTACTTTGTAAAGATTTTTCACAGTGACATTTCTACACAGAGAAATTGCAGCCATAAATAAGCTCCCCTGCAAATCTAATAATATACAAACTCTGATCATCCAGCTGAAATTTACCAAGGTATATTTAACTCACATCGGAGATTATCAGATTACAAGAGTCAGAGACAACATACTTCGACAAACATTAAGTGCCTGATCATCCTCTCAAACCTTTTAAATTTGGAAAGCATTGTATTCTAGGCATTGGATCTTAATTAGTATTAATGTTAGTTTACAGAAATTTAAACTGCAATCTTCCTTTTAGAGTAATAAATTCCAATATTCTGATAAGCATTTAAAAGAAAGCAACAAAACAATTAAGAAATCAAGCAACTTTTGTATTTATATAACTTGTAAAGCAATTTATCCTACGACGAATCCATCATTCATATTAAACAAGCCTTTCTTTAAAGAAAAACACAAAATATTCAACCAACCATTTGTTTGGATTGCTGCTGAAATATTTTCACTGAGGCACTTGTATACGTTTAACATATCCAGATATATTCGACCAAGTTGGATGACAAATGGGTGACCAACTGCTTTGCAGGCTCGAACATTAGTTTTCAGAATACTGCCAAGCTGTTTTACAGTTTCAGGATCCTTGAGAATGTCAACATTCTACAACAGAAGTGGGGGGAGAAAAAAAAAAAAAAAAATCAGCCAACTGGTTTGGATGATATACTACCTGGGGCTCCTGACTTAGTTTAAGAACAAGTGAAAAAATTGTCAAAAACTAGACAATTTCAACATGTTTGAATGCTCCACTGGGAAAGTTAGTGCATTTTGAAATATTGGCAACTGTGAAATTGACAGTTGGGACTAGGCCTGAAAACATTTGTTCAGTTTAAAAAAAAAAGCACTCTAAATACAGCCTGTCAATGCTTTCATACAGAATATACAGCTCATCCTAGATTAAGAATTACCTCAAATTATATTGGTCACTGGAGGAGATCAGAAAGGAGATGCACCACATTCATACTTTATTTTGTAAAAGGCAACAAGTGCTGG